TATTTCGAAAAAAGGTGATATTTTGGTAATTATTAAAAAAATGTTATTTTCGTAATAGTTGAATGTGGACTTTTGAGTACCTTTGACCATAAATTTGATTGGCTTTAAACGGCCATTAAACGACCTTTGATTTTGTTCGAGTATACCTATTTTGACATTTTTCAACGTCCCGAATTCGTTTCCGAAGTCCGTTTTTCCAAATTCAAACCCGAAGGCCTCCAAATCATTAGTCAAACCCATTGATTTTGACTTTGACCAAGAATTCGAAATTTCAAAAAGTCGTATTTTATGTTTTCTGATATACTGATTCTGATTCCGCAATCGGTTTGGTCAAATTTAGACTCGAAAGCCTCCAAATTAACCCGTAAACCTGAAAAATTCATATTTATCTAAGTGTTTTAATTTAGTTAATTGAACAAAATGGTGAAGGACTAATTATAGTTATGTTAAAGGTACTCGGGGATCTCCAGACTGTTTCACTACTCGACCCGGTTCCTCCCGATCCGCTCTTCCACGAGAAGCCATGAATACTCGTATATTTCTGAAACCCTATTAGTTATTCTGTTTAGAATATGTTTCCAAGTATAACCTTGTTCTGATATGACTTAGGTTCACGTTCAGTCGAAGAGCCTAGTGAATCTGGTACTCGATAGATTTTTCCGAACTGATCCTGTTATCGAGGTGTGTTCCTTATGTGCAGTATAAATATTTTAAATATCAGTTTGAAATCTCATGTGAACATAATTGTTTTCTCTGATTTAAAATACAATGTTTGATCTGATTTGTCTATTGAATGATTTATCTGATTCTGGATTTACTGAAATGAAAAGTATGATTGCCCGATTTCTAATTTCTGAACACTGGATTATTGAACTGATAATCTGTCTGAACTCTGAATTACTGTTACTACTGGTTATCGTCTGAAAAATGTTTTCTACGGGGTACTCTAGGTTCTGGTATGAAGACTCTGGCAGGTTCAATCGTTGTTGGTAATTCCTCGGATAGGTTCAACACCGATTGGTAATTCCTTATGGACCTAAGTCGAGCCTTGGGTAGGCTCTACGGCCCTGATATTTTCTTGGGTAAGACTTTATGGCCCCGGGAATTGGCTTGGGTAGGCTCGCAGGCCCCAAGGTACACCCTTAGGTTGTGCATTTCTGGGGATCTGCACATGGCGTTTGGTTGGAGGACGATGCGGAGTTTTTAAATTAAAAACTCCTATGATGTTTTAATGATTTCGATATGCACTAGTTTTGAAAATCATAACTGTATGTTTTTATTTCTGCACTGTTGGGACACACTGAGCCTCTAGCTCACTTTTCAAATTATTTTACCCCTTTCAGATACTCTGGATAGACACTCCGTATCAGGCACTTGGAGGATTGGTAAATTTAGTTTAGAGTATTTTGTTGTAATATTCTGTTTTCTAAATTGTTTTTAATTATGGTGACATGTACCTTATTTCTGAAGTATTTATCGTTTTATAACTTTTTCTGTTGTTGTTACTGATATTTGATTTTTAATGCTCCAGATTTATTTTATTTAATATTTTACCTCGTATCTTTCATGTTTTATACTTCGAATTTAGTTTTTATCTTTAATTATTATATACTTATATATAAAGGTCATTTGGAACATGATTTTAAATTATTGAAAAATGTTTTTTGAAAAATGTCTTTCAAAATCTTTAATGTAATCTGCTAGACTTAGCCGAAACCCATAGGCCGGGTTTAGGGGGTTACAGGGAGATCTGGTTGTATTTTGATATTTTGGTTTGACATGGTTTTCTTGTTGAGGACGACCAGTCATTCTTAAGACTTAGAAACTGAAGACAACGTTGTTCCTTCTTACTGAGGAAATATAATTTTTTAAAGATATTTTGACTTTGAAAATGACATCGCTTATTCATAAAGCGCTAATCGTTGCCCGAGATCAAATTGAATGATGACATTGCTCATTCTCGTTGATGAGGTCTAGTCAAAGTTTCCACTGAATTATTTAAGAATAATCTTGAAAATCAAATCAAAAGGGTTATATGTTTGCAATTATTCCCTAAAGATGATCTTAATGTCAGTTGGTATGACATGCACGAAAGTTCTTTTAGAGGGGGAGAATTGTCATACCCCATAAATTACTACTATGATATATAATTAAATATAGAGCACTAGGAGTAAAATAATGGGGGCATGAGGTTTTTATCATTTAAATAAAAAGTTAGTGGAAGATAATGGGATTCATGGGATTTTTAAAAAACTTTAAAATAATATTTAGTGGTAGACAATTGCCTATCCACCATCACATGTGGTATATTTTTATTCAAAACATGAGATGGTGGTTTATATTATATTAGGAGATAGCCCATTAGTTCTGCAAAAATACTCTTCCCGTGCATTAAACCCAAAACTGAAAATTTTTCATTAAGCTCACCCTTGACACTTTTCGACCTGCCTCCTTCGATCGGTGGTTGGTACACCGTCTTGTCCTTCAGTCTCAGCAGCGACCATCGGTCCAACCCCGACTAACCAGGTTCCGAAATCAGTCGTAAATAGGTTGAATCGAGAAGGGAAATCGACATTTAAAACCCCGATCGTCGTTTTAAGTTTTTTCGATTCCGACCATTCCAACAATCTTCTTGTTTCGTCCATTCGCCGTAGGTAAAGTTAGATCGTTTAATTTGGATAATATTTCAGTGTTTAGATTGAAAACATATTATAGTTGTTGTTGGTTTAGATGGGTGATAAATACGTAATTAATTTTGGTTATGGTGTTACTCTGGGAATAGTTTGAAAAGAGTGACTAATATGTAATTAATTTCGGTTATGGTGGTATTTTGTAAATATTGTTAAAAAAATGTTAGTTTCGTAAATATTGTTAAAAAATGATAGTTTCGTAAGTATTGTTAAGAAGATGTTAGTTTTGTAAATATTTTGAGAAAAAGTGATATTTTGGTAATTATTTCGAATAACTGATATTTTGGTAATTAATTCGAAAAAGTGATATTTTAGTAATTATTTCGAAAAGGTGATATTTTGGTAATTATTTTGAAAACGCGATATTTTGGTAATTATTTTGAAAAGTGATATTTTGGTAATTATTTCGAAAAAAGGTGATATTTTCGTAATTATTAGAAAAATGTTATTTTCGAAATAGTTGAATGTGGACTTTTGAGCACCTTTGACCATAACTTTGATTGGCTTTAAACGGCCATTAAACGACCTTTGATTTTGTTCAAGTATACCTATTCTGACATTTTTCGACGTCCCAAATCCGTTTCCAAAGTCTGTTTTTCAAAATTCGAACCCGAAGGCCTCCAAATTATCAGTCAAACCCGTTGACTTTGACTCTGACCAAGAATTTGAATTTTCAAAAAGTCATATTTTATGTTTTCCAATATACTGATTCCGATTCTGCAATCGGTTTGGTCAAATTTAGACTCGAAAGCCTCCGAATTAACCCGTAAACCTGAAAAATTCATATTTATCTAAGTGTTTTAATTTAGTTAATTGAACAAAATGGTGAAGGACTAATTATAGTCATGTTAAAGGTACTCGGGGATCTCCAGACTGTTTCACTACTCGACTCGGTTCCTCCCGATCCGCTCTTCCACGAGAAGCCATGAATACACGTATATTTCTGAAACCCTGTTAGTTATTCTTTTTAGAATATTATTCCAAATATAACCCTGTTCTGATATGACTTAGATTCACGTTCAGTCGAAGAGCCTAGTGAAGCTGGTACTTGATAGATATTGCCAGACTGATCCTGTTATCGAGGTGTGTTCCTTATTTGCAGTATAAATATTTTAAATATGTTTGAAATCTCATGTGAACATAATTGTTTTCTCTGATTTAAAATACAATTTTTGATCTGATTTGTCTACTGAATGATTTATCTGATTCTGGATTTACTGAAATGAAAAGCATGATTGCCCGATTTCTGAACACTGGATTACTGAACTGATAATCTGTCTGAACTCTGAATTACTGTTACTACTGGTTACCGTCTGAAAAATGTTTTCTATGGGGTACTCTGGGTTCTGGTATGAAGACTCTGGCAGGTTAAATCGCTGTTGGTAATTCCTCGGATAGGTTCAACACCGATTGGTAATTCCTTATGGACCTAAGTCGAGCCTTAGGTAGGCTCTGCGGCCCTGAGATTTTCTTGGGTAAGCCTTTATGGCCCCGAGAATTGGCTTAGATAGGCTCGCAGGCCCCAAGGTACTCCCTTAGGTTGTGCATTTCTGGGGATCTGGACATGGCATTCGGTTGGAGGACGATGCGGAGTTTTTAAATTAAAAACTCCTACGATGTTTTAATGATTGTGATATGCACTGCTTTTGAAAATCATAACTGTATGTTTTTATTTCTGCACTGTTGGGACACACTGAGCCTCTAGCTCACTTTTCAAATTATTTACCCCTTTCAGATACTCTCGGATAGACACTCCGTATAAGGCACTTGGTTGATTGGTACATTTAGTTTAGAGTATTTTGTTGTAATATTCTATTTTCTGAACTGTTTTTAATTATGGTGACATGTACCTTATTTCTGAAGTATTTATCGTTTTATAATGTTTTCTGTTGTTGTTACTGATATTTGATTTTCAATGCTCCAGATTTATTTTATGTAATATTTTACCTAGTATCTTTCATGTTTTATATTTTGAATTTAGTTTTTATCGTTAATTATTATATACTTATATATAAATTATTGAAAAATGTTTTTCGAAAATGTCTTTCAAAATCTTTAATGTAATCTGCTAGACTTAGCCGAAACGCATAGGCCGTGTTTAGGGGATTACATTTATTGGTATAAGAGTTTTTGGTTTTAAACCTCGGACTGTGAATGAATCCAAACTGAAAATACGGTTTTGAAATGTTTTACAAAATAAGTCAGTAAGGTCATGTCACAAATTTTTTATGATTTTAATTGTGTTCGAGACTCCAAGTGCCTATCTAATCCTAGGTTTTATCTTCTGTAGTAAACTCAAGATCCACCAAGATGAGTACTAGACGTGGTCGTCGAACTAGCCGTGGTCGCGGCAGAGTGCCTAGATTTGCAGACCCAGTAGATGAGATAAGTATAGATCCCCAACCTTCGATATATGATCCTGCTACTACGACCCCGAGGAATTTGCCTTCTGCTTCTGGTATTGGCATTACTACTCCGATAAGAGGAGCTACTGGTACTGAGCCCGAGTCTACCAGAGTTGTATTAGATGAGAATTTTGGTAGACAATTTCTTCAGATGATTCAGGGAGCTGTCAGAACTGCTGGCATTATACCCGAGGTTCCTATCTCTCAGACCCTTATTGGAAATGGAGTCAGGACATTTAGTGGTCTTACTGGTGGAGATCCGACTGAGGCTGAGGATTGGCTTAGTGATACTGAGCGACACATGGATCAATTAGGTTTAGATCTGCATCGATGTTATTTAGGAGCAATTTTTATGTTGGATGGGAATGCTCACACCTGGTGGGAGTCAGTGGTTAGTAGTGTTCAGACCGATCGTTTGACTTGGGATTTCTTTAGAGAGTGCTTTAGGAGCCGTTTCTTAGGAGAGCGTTATTTAACTCAGAGACGACAACAGTTTCAAGACCTGGTTCAGGGAGATATGACCGTTTCTGAGTACGTGATTGAGTTCTTGAAATTGTTGAAGTATGGATTCAGTTTAGCACCTACCGAGAGAGATAGATGTCGAAATTTTGCTCAGGGACTTCGATTCGATTTGCGACATCAGGTAGTTACTCATCAGGATGAGGTATTCGATGTTGTAGTTGGGAGAGCAAAAGACACGCGGAGGAAGTCGAGGCTTCTGCACTTGACAATGATAGAGTATGTCTAGAAAGTTGTAGGAAGCCTTCTGGTCAGTCTGCACCTTTTTCACGCCCTGATAAAATATCTCGTATTGTTCCTCATCAAATGAGTCGGTCTGATTCGAGGCCTGCATCTCCTCCACATACTGTAGCTAGTCGAGAGGATTCTGTATATTCCACTTCGAATTTGAGTTGTGAGTTCTGTGGAAATCAACACGGAGGGGAGTGTCGTAAGAAGATGGGTACTTGTTTTGGTTGTGGATCTAGCAAGCACTTCTTGAGAAATTGTCCATATCCAGCTCCTGTCAATCAGACAGCTGTTCAGACTTCTATACGTTCTTAGACCTCTGCTCAGATTCCATATATGAGTCATAGTCAGGGTATGGCTTCCGGATCTATTTCTAGGGTTGACAATAGAGCCCGATCGCAGAGTAGAGGACTAGATGCTTCTGAGGCTCGACAGCCTGCTCTTGTTTACACTACCCTAAGTTCTGGTGATCGAATTGAGTTTAATACTTCTGCAGGTATATTTATTGTTAATTCTGATTCATGCCATACATTTCTAACAACACTCTTTTTATATCTGAGTTTCGTAAGACCCTAAGACAAAATTAGCTTTCTCCACTAAATGATCTATCAGAGACATAATCTCAATTTACTTTCAGATTCTGATGAATTTCGAGGACGAAATTTCTTTTAGAGGGGGAGAATTATCATACCCCATAATTTACTACTATGAAATATAATTAAATATAGAGCACTAGGAGTAAAATAATGGGGGCATGAGGTTTTAATCATTTAAATAAAAAGTTAGTGGAAGATAATGGGATTCATGGGATTTTTAAAAAACTTTAAAAAAATATTTAGTGGTAGACAATGGCCTATCCACCATCACATGTGGTATATTTTTATTCAAAACATGAGATGGTGGTTTATATTATATTAGGAGATAGCCCATTAATTCTGCAAAAATACTCTTCCCGTGCATTAAACCCAAAACTGAAAATTTTTCATTAAGCTCACCCTTGACACATTTCGACCTGCCTCCTTCGATCGGTGGTTGGTACGCCGTCTTGTCCTTCAGTCTCAGCATCGACCATCAGTCCAACCCCGACTAACCAGGTTCCGAAATCAGTCGTAAATAGGTTGAATCGAGAAGGGAAATCGACATTTAAAACCCCGATCGTTGTTTTAAGTTTTGTCGATTTCGACCATTCCAACAATCTTCTTGTTTCGTCCATTCGCCGTAGGTAAAGTCAGATCGTTTAATTTGGATAATATTTCAGTGTTTAGATTGAAAACATATTATAGTTGGTGTTGGTTTAGATGAGTGATAAATACGTAATTAATTTTGGTTATGGTGTTATTCTGGGAATAGTTTGAAAAGAGTGACTAATATGTAATTAATTTCGGTTATGGTGGTATTTTGTAAATATTGTTAAAAAATTGTTAGTTTCGTAAATATTGTTAAAAAATGATAGTTTTGTAAATATTGTTAAGATGTTAGTTTTGTAAATATTTTGAGAAAAAGTGATATTTTGGTAATTATTTCAAAAAAGTGATATTTTGGTAATTATTTCAAAAAAATGATATTTTGGTAATTATTTTGAAAAGTGATATTTTGGTAATTATTTCAAAGAGAGGTAATATTTTCGTAATTATTAAAAAATGTTATTTTCGTAATAGTTGAATCTGGACTTTTTAGCACCTTTGACCATAACGTTGATTGGCTTTAAACGGCTATTAAATGACCTTTGATTTTGTTCGAGTATACCTATTCTGACATTTTTCGACGTCCCGAATCCGTTTCTGAAGTCCGTTTTTCCAAATTCAAACACGAAGGCCTCCAAATCGTCAGTCAAACCCGTTGACTTTGTCTTTGACCAAGAGTTCGAATTTTTAAAAAGTCATATTTTATGTTTTCCGATATACTGATTCCGATTCCGCAATCGGTTTGGTCAAATTTAGACTCAAAAGCCTCCAAATTAACCCATAAACCAAAAAAATCATATTTATCTAAGTGTTTTAATTTAGTTAATTGAACAAAATGGTGAAGGACTAATTATAGTTATGTTAAAGGTACTCGGGGATCTCCAGGCTGTTTCACTACTCGACCCGGTTCCTCCCAATCTGCTCGTCCACGAGAAGCCGTGAATACTCGTATATTTTTGAAACCCTGATAGTTATTCTATTTAGAATATTATTCCAAATATAACCCTGTTCTGATATGACTTAGGTTCACATTCAGTCGAAGAGCCTAGTGAAGCTGGTACTCGATAGATTTTTCCGGACTGATCCTGTTATCGAGGTGTGTTCTTTAAGTGCAGTATAAATATTTTAAATATCTGTTTGAAATCTAATGTGAACATAATTGTTTTCTCTTATTTAAAATACAATGTTTGATCTAATTTGTCTATTGAATGATTTATCTGATTCTGGATTTACTGAAATGAAAAGCATGATTGCCTGATTTATGATTTCTGAACACTGGATTACTGAACTGATAATCTGTCTGAACTCTGAATTACTGTTACTACTGGTTACTGTCTGAAAAATGCTTTCTACGGGGTACTCTGGGCTCTGGTATGAAGACTCTAGCAAGTTCAATCGTTGTTGGTAATTCCTCGGATATGTTCAACACCGATTGGTAATTCCTTATGGACCTAAGTCGAGCCTTGGGTAGGCTCTGCGGCCCTGAGATTTTCTTGGGTAAGCCTTTGTGGCCCCGGGAATTGGCTTGGGTAGGCTCGCAGGCCCCAAGGTACTCCCTTAGGCTGTACATTTCTGGGGATCTGCACATGGCGTTCGGTTGGAGGACGATGCAGAGTTTTTAAATTAAAAACTCCTATGATGTTTTAATGATTGCGATATGCACTGGTTTTGAAAATCATAACTGTATTTTTTATTTCTGCACTGTTGGGACACACTGAGCCTCTAGCTCACTTTTCAAATTGTTTTACCCCTTTCAGATACTCTCGGATAGACACTCCGTATCAGGCACTTGGAGGATTGGTACATTTAGTTTAGAGTATTTTGTTGTAATATTCTGTTTTCTGAACTGTTTTTAATTATGTTGACATGTACCTTATTTCTGAAGTATTTATCGTTTTATAACGTTTTCTGTTGTTGTTACTGATATTTGATTTTCAATGCTCTAGATTTATTTTATGTAATATTTTACCTCGTATCTTTCATGTTTTATATTTTGAATTTAGTTTTTATCGTTAATTATTATATACTTATATATAAAGGTCATTTGTAACATGATTTTAAATTATTGAAAAATGTTTTTGGAAAAATGTCTTTCAAAATCTGAAGACAACGTTGAGGACGACCAGTCATCCTTAAGACTTAGAAACTGAAGACAACATTGTTCCTTCTTACTGAGGAAATATAATTTTTTAAAGATATTTTGACTTTGAAAATGACATCGCTTATTCATAAAGCGCTAATCGTTGCCCGGGATCAAATTGAATGATGACATTGCTCATTCTCGTTGATGAGGTCTAGTCAAAGTTGCCACTGATTGATTTAAGAATAATCTTGAAAATCAAATCAAAAGGGTTATATGTTATGATTTTATGTTTGCAATTATTCCTTAAAGATGATCTTAATGTCAGTTGGTATGACATGCACGAATGATTATGCACAACTTGATCCTGGCATTTGGGACCATATATATTCTTTGATCGTGACATGCAAGATTTTTTTGTTTGCCATTGTCTGATCTCTGACTGTGGTTACTCTCCTAATCTCCATGCAGATATTATGGTTAATTTGTTTTCTTTGATCTTCCTCGAGGAAAAATTTATCTTTCATGGTTTGCTTTTTGACCATTGGTTGACTTTATCTTCAGGAAAATTTGGTTGAATGACATATCATTTAGTGCACCTTTCAATTGGGATTTCTTAGATCTCTTTGTCTGGGAAAGGTAGAGTTAGGCTAAGATTGATTTCTTGGATTTGCAAAAATTTCATTTCAATTGTGTTTCCTGGTAAATACTTGTTTTGAAATCCTCATACTCTGACACTGTTCAGAGTAAAGCATAATATTTGATACTATTATTAATCAGTATTTCGATGCTTATGTAAAGGAACAATGAAATATATTTAACCTATTTCATTAAAGATATGTAAAGAGAAAGTACAATATTTTGGGACAAGTATTTTTCTTACGAACAAGGCCAACATTACAGGAAGAATAAAGGTTGAATACATTCGATATCAAGTGTTGAGTCATTCTATTTCCTCAGCCCAAATATTTATTGAAAGTTAACATGTGTCTAAAAGATTCAGATTATTCTAAGGACACCTGAGTATGAGAACCTCTCCCATAACTTTTAGGCTTATGAGGGAATCCGCCATTTCCAATCCTGAATATTCGAGTTGTCCATTGTGGATTTTCAACTTGAATCCTCTTTTAGTTTCAAGAGGCTCATTTTGAGTTTTCATCTGGAACCCCTTTTATTTTATTTTTTTCTCTTTTTTTCTATTTTCTTTTCTATTTTCTATTTTCTATTTTATTTTTCTTTTTATTTTTTTTTTTTTTTATTTTTTTCTTTTTTCTTAAAGTATAAAATCACTTGACTGAATTAGATTCACAAGATCAGACAATTATTCTCTATCCATTTCAGTCAAAATCAAAGCTCCTCTTGATAAGGCATTTTTCACAACATAGGGATCTTCCTAATTTGGCATCCATTTCTCTCAAAAGTCTTTTTTGCAAGCGCAAGATCCTTTTCAGTACTAAATCCTCTTCGTAAAATTATCAAGGTCTGACCTTCTTATTATAAGCTCGCATTATCCTCTTTTGGTACATATGACCATGAAAGATAGCTCTTAGCCTTTCTCTTCAATCAAATTCAATTGATCAAACCTATTCTGAATCCAATCAGCATACAGTTAGAATGTTGTTGCCCCAGTCGATGTGGGAACGGATGTGCGATATGGAAATAGTGCAAAAGGTCATTTCTCGTGACAGTCTCTATATGTTTTAGTTGTTTTCATGATGAACTTCTTGATATTTTTATTTGTTGCCTCTATTCATTTTTTGAAGATAAAGAGTCAAGTTGTGATGTTTGATCTTGAACTCCATACATATTTCCTTTATTATATCATCATTCAGATTCAATGCATTATCTGAAATGATTCTTTCTGGTGTTCCATATCTATAAATGATTTCCCTTTTTAGTAATCTGCAAACTACTATTTTTTTTGATATTAGCATACTAAGTAACTTTAACCCATTTGGTGAAGTAATCAATGGTCACTAGGATGAAACGATTTCCATTTGAAGCCTGCGGTGAAATTGCCTCAATAACATTGATGCCCCACATTGAAAATG